GGTGACGGGTGAGTGACGGGAGGGCAGCGGGTGAGGACCCGCCAGGTGCGTCAGGGGGGGGGGGAGGCACGCCATGCTACGTCATGAGCGGGCCGCGGCGCGCCTTGGCGTTACGTCAGGGGGCGCGCCATGCGCAGCTGCCCGCCGGGAACGTGCGGGCCGCCGCTGTCGCCGCCGCCTGGTTGACACATGTCGACATGTGCTCGCAGGAACCGGTGTGTCTGAATGCCTCTGATCCCATGGTCCCCTCCCGTTCCCAGGGCCCTAGCAAGGTCTTTGCCCATGGAAAGCCCTCTGATCTTGCATACGTCGACTCTCACGCCAAATCCGTCCGGCCTGCGCCATGCCTGCCCCTCAGAGCAGGCCCAAGCCCCCCTTCTGCCGCCGCGACCTAAATCATCGCGCCACCACCCGAGACAGCAAACGCGTGGCGGGCCCCCACCTCATCCCGCAGCTCGGCCACCTCCTTGTCCAGCTGCGCCACGCGGACCTGGTTGCGGATTCAAACGCCGGGGTGCGACAGCTGCAGGATTGGCCGGCTGGCGCGGCGCGGACGCGGCGGCGTGTGTGTGTTGCTAAGCCAGCCATTCCTCCGAAGGGCGTCGCCTACGACAATGCCATCAGCATGGTCGGCTGCGGCGTGCATACGTGTATATCCTGTCTCACCTCAAGCTCCCTGTTGTGCTGCAGGCAGGCCGCATAGTCTGACACCAGCTCAAGGAACGGCGCTGTCTGCGCCGCGTGCAGCGCGTCGAGCTGCTGCGCCAGGCCCGCCTCGAGCTCCGGCTCTACGTACACCTCCATTCCGTGTCACAGGACTGGTATGTTTCACATTGAAAATGCCATGGGGTCGCCACGCTCGCCTCGGTGCGCTTACAGCGATGCCGGGATCGTGGAAGCGTGATCTGCAGCTGATCGTGCGCGGCCCGTGTGCAACGAAATCTAATCAATGACAAAGAGATTCTACTGGTGCGACACCTGCGCATGATGATGGTGCGTCCCCGTCAGCATAGCACTGGGGTGACACGGCCACACCCGCAGCCGATGGTCTGCCGCAAAACTCAAAACTGGGCAGGGTGCAGCCCGACCTGAGCACACCGTGCGCCAGCCATAAACCCGGGACATGCTACTGTCACGCAGGGCAGCTAGTGTTGATTCAGTGATGCAGGTCTGAAGAGGGCTGGCAGCACTGCGAAGCGCGGAGGTTACGCGATCATGCCATCCCGCACCCTGCGAAAGCGGCGTGCCGCACATACATGTGATGCAGCCTGCTTGTCGCAGATTCAGTTCAAATTCTCTTTCGCAAACGTTTTGATGGACGCTCAGCAGGGAAAAAACTGAATCCCCATGCAGGGTGGCACATGAGCGGGCATGCAGGATTTATAGTCACGAGGAACCAGCAAAGCGGCACTGATGTGTTGCCTTGCAGACGACCTGCAGCCCCTGCCGTATTCCGCATCACAGTAGAGACGCAAATACTGTATTACCACATTACTCCAAAAAAATCCTATCAGTTTAAAGTTGCTGGCCTCAGCGGCCCAAGTAAAGCTGAGCCCCTCGACAACGCGAGCCCCGTTGAGCAAGCCAATGGACGTTGCAGCACGCTGGCCACCTGGGGCGGGCCGCGCCCTTTTGGGTATTGATGACCCACACGCTGCAGCTTGTACAGGTTGCAACTCCTGTGTTTGTGTGTATTTGTGTGTTTGTGTGTGTTTGTGTGTGTATGCATGTGTGTGCGTGCGCGAGTGCGTGTGCACGTGCGTGTGTGGAGCAGCTTGTGCGCAGCACAGCAGCGCCAAGGCCACGGGTAAACCCACCTGCCGGAAGACGCCCTTGGATATCACGAGATGATGAAGGGGTTAGCTGTGGCAATCCATGGGCAGGCCTGTCTTCAAATCAAGCCCCACCTAGCGCAGGCGGTCGCAGGTCACCTGGTGGATTGCATGCCATTCGCAGGGCGAGCATTATTCCATGCAAGGCCGCACAATATACTGGCATTGCTCATCAGTGGGACAGGGGACCGGGCAGGGTCGCGCTCAAGCTCGACACGCGGCTCTATGATGCGTCGGCCCTCCTGGCTGGGCCTCACCGAATAGCAGTCAGCTGGAAAGTTGTGCCGCGCCGCGCGCTCTTTCCAGAACCTAGGGGTTCCACGCGGCGGGCAAAGCTGCCAGCACAATGCCGACGGCAGGCTTCAGCGTACAACACGCGCAGCCGGCTTGCCTGGGGGTGATTGAGGGATCGAAGGGTGAGGAGGTGCGCATGGGTCAGAGCAGCACACCGATCAGAGAGCAGGCAGAAGCCACACGGCATGTATACCATGTGCAGCAAATCCCTGTTGATTCTAATAATGACAAAATTCCAGACACAACTAGCCATCATTTATGCACAAGGGATGCAGGAGTGTAGCGGGGGCGAACTAGGCGTTTAGCGCCGGTGCGTGCAGACAGCTGTGGCGCACACCCTCCTGAATTGCGCCCTGCTGGCGTGCCCCCTGGCGGCCATCGGCCCTCCTTGCCCGGCCATACCTTGGGGGTGCGAAGAGGAGGAGAACCTTGGACAGTGCCTTGGACCCTTGGCCAGCTCCCACCACCACCACCCCTAAAGCCCGCCAGCCGGCGACAGCTTGGCTTGATTGTGCTCACCACCTGCGAGGTATGGCAAGCCAGCAAACGGGGCGCCGCCGCGCAGCGCAGAACCCGAGCCCGCCGGCGTAGTCACACCCCAGTCTCACCTATGCAAAAGATCAAACCCTGATCTCTCCGCCAGCGCGGCGCCGCCCAAACCCTACGCTAGCCTGTCTCCTTTCGCCCGCGTTTCCAGGACATTGCGCCACGGGATCTCCCGCAGTCGCAGGTTTTTTTCCCCCGTGACGCAGGGCTAAGCCCGCTGCACAGCTGAACGAGTCAAGCGTGTGCAGGCATAGGCAGAGCGTGCCTGTACCGGCGGCCGCCTGGCGCCGTGGCGCGTCAGCGGCGCGCGGCGGAGCGCGCCTCGCTCCCACGAAGGGGACTGCCGATGTGAAGCGGCAGGAGATGCGGCATGAGCGCACCCAGAGGCCATACATCTCGCGGACTTGATGGCTAGGGCTGCGAGCGCGAGGGGAGCTCGTGACATGGCAAGAAAAACGCGAGCTGCCGTTAGGCGCAGGGCCTCAGAATGTCGTTGCGGAATGCATGAATGTACTCTGGAATGAACAAGTGAACGATCGAGGGCAAGAACGCCTCGCCAGGTGCAGCTGCAGGTGCACACTAAAAGTTGAAATGTTACCGTAATCTCACGGCGTTTCCCGAGGACACGTGTAAGGTTCACGTATGCTATATTATCGTCTTTGTAGTTGTGACTCGTTGCTCTCGCCCAACTGCACACGGGACAGGTGTGGTCGCTGCCCGGCTGCCGGGACACGGCCAGGGCTCAATATGCTGGAAAGGTGAGCCTCAGAGGCATCATAGGACCTGGGAGGTCACAGCAACGCCAGTAGCTGGTCGCCGCCCGCACCTCGGCGATGGCGCCAAAATGATTGACCTGGCAAGCCCACCCTACCGGAGCATTATCGGGCACTACTGCATGCGTGCGGAGTCCCGCATGCAGGTCGCTCTCTGGATGCAACCTCACACCCTCGATCATGCGTGCGCGCCATGTGCTGCGCCATAGATCGCCGAACAGACGGCTGCGGGTGCCGTCTCGACGCGCCGTGGAAGCAACCGACTCTAGATGCGACCTGGAGGCGTTTGACCGCGCCCAGGCGAACGCAAGCGCGGCCGTGGGGACGCCAAGCCCGCCACGAAAGGCCGCCGCAGCGCGCCTCTCCGGCAGCGACGCCAGCCCGCGGTGCGTACGCCATGCGTCTGCAGGTCGCATGCGTTCGCATGCACCACCTGCACGGGTGTCGGTATTCCAGCTGCCATGCGGGCGCATGCCGCGCATGCAGCACCTGCAATGGCGTGTGGCAGCTGCCATGCGGGCGCATGCAGCACCCGCACTGTCCGTCGTGTGCCAGCTGCCATGCGGGGCGCATCGCATCATGCAGCATTTGCACTGACGTATGCCAGCTGCCATGCAGGCGCTTGCAGCACCTGCACTCAGTACCCGCTGCTTGCTACATGTCCATGATGGGATCAGCTGACCCGCATGGGCCCTTGCCTCCCTTCCCCTCCTCGGCTCAAACCTGCTGCCATTCTCTCTCACTCGTACATGCAGCAAGCCGCGTGGTCACGCGCCGGGGACAACCGCACCCAGCTCGCCGGACGGCGGCAGCGGCGGTGGCGGCCGCAGCCCTGGCCTGCCCAGCCGCCGCTCCACCCGCTTCGGTGATGGGGGTGGCGGTGACGTCGCGCTGGACCCCCGTCACCTGGCCATGCAGCACTCCGCTGCCATGAGCCAGGCGCTGCCCCCGCTGCAGCTTGCGCGGCCAGTCGAGGGGGCTGCCGCCGGCGCGGCTGCAGGTGGGGCGGGCCACCCACTAGACGCACCGCTTCCCCCAGCAGAGCCACGGCTTGGAGCTCTCCCCTGCACAACCGAGTGGATGTGCGCTGCCACCGCCGCCGCCACCGCCACCACCGCCCTGGCAGCAGCGGCAGCGGCAGCAGCACCACCAGCAGCACCCTCAGCTGCTCCCTCGCGTCAGGGCAGCTTAGGGCTCCTGCCGCTCAGCAGAGATGCCAGCCTGCTGAGGTCCCTGCTGTTGCCGGAGCTTGGCAGCGGGGCCGCCGAGCTGCCCGGCCTGGACGGCATCCTCGAGGAGAGCGAGCTCATGGGCAACCTCACCGGGCCAGGAAACCGCCTCTGCGACGGCGCATCGCATGCGCCCTGCCCCACCCTGGCGCAGCTCTTCGATGAGCGCCTGCGTGCTGCCCCCAGCCGGCGGCGCACTGCGTGGTGGCGGCGGTGGCGGCGCCGGCAACGGCGCGGGGGCCGGCCACACCAGCAGCAGCGGCCACCAAGGCCATCCCCCTGTGCCCCTGCCTGCAGCTGCTCCCGCGGCCGCACACCCTCATGGTGTGGCCCTGCCGGGGGCGGCTGCGCTCGGCGCTTCGGTGCTGCCGCTGCGACCTGCTGATGTGGCGGACCTGTCCGCTGCCGACGCGGCGGCGATGCTGGTGGGGCTGCTGCGCGGCCGCTTCGACGTCGACGAAGTCAACGGCCTGCGCATCGTCTCCATGCGGCCGCCACCCGCTTCCATTCTGCACCTAGTTTCTCTCTATCAGAGCGGCGCCATCCTCCAACTGCCGGAGAGCCTGATCTTGACGTGGCTGGAGGGTTTGATGGCACCCGGCAGCGCGGCCGCGTGCGGTGTGCAGTGGCTCGGGCCGGATGCGCCGCTGCTGCTGCCTGCGCTCGAGCGCAAGGGGGGGCCCGTTCTGCTCCACAACGTGCACAAGGGCGGCAGGGCCACGCTGGCGGCGCTCATCATCGCCTTGGGCGCGCCGCCGCCCCCCCTTGCGGCCTGCGCCCACCCATGCCACCGAGCTGGCGGACCTGCTGGGGCGTGCGCGGCACCCTGGCGCTGGACTGCAGCACGTTGTGCTTGCGCGGCACGTGGACGGCTGCGACGCGCCCACAGCAGTGCTGACCCTGCCCACCGGCGTCCCCGTGGCGCCTGTGCCTGCTGCGGCGGAGCTTGCGGCGGCAGGGCTGCCCATTGTGCTGCTGGTGTCCCTCCCGACGGGCAAGCAAGCAGACCAGGCTGTGTCTGCGGCCCTCACCATGCTGGCGGTGCTGCTGCTGCCGCTGCTTGTGATGGTGGTCGAGACCCACGTCCCCACGCAGGCCCCCATGGCCGCGGCCGCAGCCAGCGCACCGGCAAGCGTGCTGCCAGTGGGTGTGATGGGGCAGCAGGAGCAGCAGCAGCAGAAGCAGAAGCAGCAGCAGGAGGAGGAGGAGGAGGAGGAGATGGGGGCGAAGGCAATGGTGGCGGACGCTGCGGTGGCGGGGGCGAACGCGGCGGCCGATGAGTGGCAGCTGAGGCTGGCGGGCGGCGTAGTGCTCTCCGTCCCTGCCGCGCTGTGCCGTGTTCTTGTGGCTTTGTTCAAGCCGGACGGCCCGGGCAGCATGCACGTGTCCAGGCTTGGGATGGAGTAGAGTGCAAGTCCACAGCATGAGGCAGCGCAGGAGGCGTATTCACTCATAACAATTCACAGCTCCTTGATTTACGGCTGTGTGGTCAGCTTGCCATTGCGCACATCTGATATTGGTACCGCGTGCCTTGGGTGCTACAACAGTTTTTTTGTTAAGTAATCTCATTGCCAAGCAGGTGTTGCTTCTGGTTGTGGGCCCCACGCAAAGCGCAATTGGTAAGGCCCAGCCATCGCATCGCCCCCCGCACCGCGCTGCAGGGAGCTGACAGCTCCTTGCAGCGCATGCCGGCGATTCACAGCCCCAAGTGCTGCCCTCCAGCGCCTTCAAAGAAGTTGGTGTCTAGATGATCAGCAGCACTGAGTCAGCTGCCGCTTGGGCTGGCAAATGCGAGGCGACTCTGCAGCTGCACATCAACAGTACAGGTGCATGCCAACCGACACTGATAGTTGCTCGGTGGCGCCCAGGGCTAAAACTTGCCAATTGGCGGCAGCGGTAGCCTTCCTGGAATGAATGGTAACATGTGAGGCTGGGGCTGCAACTAGAACCGTATAAACAACGTTGTTGCCAACAGCCAATAGCAGATGGTCACAGGCACGACTAAAGCGCACCGAGACGCAACTGAACCGCCCTCAACAGTCAGCGAGCGCCTTGCTGCATGCAACTTGCGCCGTTGTGCTGCTGTGGTGCAGTGGTGTACCCTGCGGCACCAATACTAGCCCCCTGGCGCAGGCCGCGCTCTCTCCTCAACCGTATGTATGCCTTGCCCAGGCAGATTGATTTGCGTTTTGCTTGGCCTGTCATCACGGCAATCAACTGGTGGGAGCCCTTTTGCAAGCCGACTTGGTGCGATCACATCGCCCTGTGCCTCCGTTTACCTTCCAATAGATTGCAAGGTAATGCAGGGGACCGCATGCAGTACGTGCACGCGTGCGACGAGCACAGTCAGCAGGCTGGAGCCGCGCCCCGATGGCAATGCTGCGGCCGCTTTGACTTGGATTGGTCGTGCAGCCATCATCCCTGTGTTTGCTAGCTTGAACTTCACACTTAATCTGACGAGACGAGGACAACTTTCTGAATGCGTTACAGATGCGACACATCCAGAAGCTGATTGTTGTGGCCTCCAGCCTTGACCCACAATCATGCAGCGTCAAGCAGCCTGGCAGGTGGAGGGGTACATGGATGAACAGTGAGAGGGGTGTAGTGGTAAAGAGATGTAGGTGAGACGTCGAAACTCCAAAAACATAACACACAAAGCAGCAGCGGCGGCAGCAGCGGCGGCAGCAGCGGCGGCAGCAGCGGCGGCAGCAGCGGCGGCAGCAGCGGCGGCAGCAGCGGCGGCAGCAGCGGCGGCAGCAGCGGCAGCAGCAGCAGCAGCAGCAGCAGCAGCAGCAGCGGCAAGAGCAGCAGTGCACAAGCATGCATCCAGCCTCCTAACTGTAAAAAAAACACCTGGGTGCTAGCCGGGCGAAAAAGGCCGAAGTGGCGCCATGCACCTGGCCTGGATGGCTCTGCACAGCTGGACGGCGCCGCCTGCCAGCCAATCAGAGAGCACAACCTTGAGCGTACGGTTGGCAACACTGGCGTGCCTGGTGGTCAATGGGTTGAGAGAAGGGTTGCATGGAGGGTGACATGGCCGCACACCAGCCAGAGAGTGCATTGACTCTGCAGGCTGCGAGGCCGCGCTGCTCTGAGCTCGACAGCAGGCACATGCCCGAGTGCCACTTGGCCAGGAACCCGGGCGGCTCTCAAGACAAGTCGTGGCCCTCCTCGCCCGCCCGCACCTCAAAGCAAGGAAAAAGGGATGTTGGAAGCCGTTCGTTGCGCCACGCGGGCGGCTCCTCGCGGGAAACGCCACCCGTCACCTGCCAGCTTAAAGCCCAGCCAAGTGTGCTGTAGGGTGGTCCATGCCTGCTAGGAGTGACAGGCGAACACAAGGAGGGCGCCCCCACGCAGCGCAGCACCCAAGCGCGCCAGCCCAATTACGTCCCATACGCATTCATGCAGGGAACCACACCCTGACCTCCCTCCGCCAGCGCGGCGCCGCCCAAACCCTTGGACCTGCTAGCCTCTATTTATTTCTACTTTCACCCGCGTTTCCAGGACTTTTGCGCCACGGCTTCTCCTGCAGACACAGGTGGTATTTTCCCCCGTGGCGCAGCGCTAAGCCCGCTGCACAGCCGACCAAGTCGAGCGTGTGCAGGCATAGGCAGAGCGTGCCTGTACCGGCGACCGCCTGGCGCCGTAGCGCGTCAGCGGCGCGCGGCGGAGCGCGCCTCGCTCCCACTAAGGGGACTGCCGATGTGAAGCGGCAGGAGATGCGGCATGAGCGCACCCAGAGGCCATACATCTCGCGGACTTGATGTCTAGGGCTGCGAGCGCGAGGGGAGCTCAGGACGTGGCAAGAAAAACGCGAGCTGCCGTTCGGCGCAGGGCCTCGGGCTGCCGTTCCGGAGTGAAGCTATGTATGTGTACTCTTGTAGCAAAGTATATGATGAGTGCTAGGAACGCCTCGCCAGGTGCAGCTGCAGGGTCACACTGACAGATGAAAGTCATTGTCCGTTTCTGTCCTCACTCACGGTGTTTCCGAGGAGGCGGACAGATCAAGAAATAAGAATGCTGTGTTAACGTCTTTGGAGAGTATATGCTAGTCGTTGTTCTCGCCAAACTGCACACGGGACAGTTGTGGTCGCTGCCGGGACTGCCCAGGGCTCAATATGCTGGAAAGGTGGGACGCAGAGGTATCATAGAATCTCGGTGGACGCAGCGGCGCCAGTGGCTGGTCGCCGACCTCACCTTGGCGATGGCGCCAAAGTGATTGACCCAATATGAGCACCCTGCACAGAGCATGTGTGGGCGCTACCGCTTGTGTATAGGGTCCAACATGTTGGATGCGCCCTCCATGCGGCCTCACCCCCTCGATCGTGCGCGCACCGTCCTGCACCGCAGATCCAGCTACGGACGGCAGCGGGTGCCGACTCGGCGCGCCGCGGATGCGGCCGACGCCAGCTGCGAGGATCTGGGGGCGTTGCAGGATTACACAGGGGCGGCCGTGGTGACGCCAAGCCTGCATTGCAAGGCCGCCGCAGCGCGCCTGTCCGGCGGCGACGCGAGCCCTCGGTGCGTACGCCATGCGTCTGCAGGTCGCATGCGGGTGCATGCAGCAGCCCAGTACTGGTGTATCCCTTCTGCAGTGCAGGCGCATGCAGCACCTGCACTGCCGTGTGCCAGCTGCCATGCGGGCACTGCACTCAACAATCACTGCCTGCCACATCGCCATGATGGGCTCAGCTGCCCCGCATGGGTCCTTGCCTCCCTGCCCCTGCTCGGCTCAAACCTGCCGCCATTCTTGCTCACTCGTACATGCAGCAAGCCGCGTGGCCGTCCGCCGGAAACCACCACACCCAGCTCGCCGGACCGCGGCAACGGCACTGGCGACCGCAGCCCCGGCCTGCCCAGCCGCGGCCCCACCCGCTTCGTTGATGGGGGCGGCAGCGACATCACTGCTCTGCCGGGCGCGACCGCGCCCGGCGCCGGCGCCGCGGTGCCGCCGCCGCGCCCTGCTGATGTGGCGCACCTGTCCGCTGCCGACGCGGCGGCGCTGCTAGTGGGGCTGCTGCGCGGCCGCTTCGACGGCGACGAAGTCAACGGCCTGCGCAGGGTGTTCATGCGTGCGCCGCCCACTTCAGTCGTGCACGTGGCCGCGCTGATCAAGAGCGGCGCCATCCCGCAGCTGTCAGGCAACCTCATCTCCACCTGGCTGGAGCGCTGGATGGAGCCCGGCAGCGCAGCTGCGTGCGGCGTGCAGTGGCTGGGGCCGGACGCGCCGCTGCTGCTGGCTGCGCTCGAGCGCGAGGGGAAGCCTGCCCTGCTGCAGAAGGTCCACAAAGGCGGCAAGGCCGTGCTGGCAGCTGCCAGCATTGCCACAGGCGCGCCACCTCCCCCCCTGCGGCCTGTGCCCGCCCATGTCGACGAGCTGGCGGACCTGCTGGCGCGCGCGCCGCACCCGGGCAGTGGACTGCAGCACGTTGTGCTCACGCGGAACATGGCCGGCTGCGACGCGCCCACAGCAGTGCTGACCCTGCCCACCGGCGTCCCCGTGGCGCCTGCGCCTGCCGCGGCGGAGCCCGCGGGGGCGGCGCTGCCCGTGGTGGTGCTGATGTCCATCTTGATGAGCAAGAAGGGCAAGCAGGCGGACCGGGCTGTGTCCGCAGCCCTCATCATGCTGACAGCACTGCTGCTGCCGCTGCTTGTTGCAGTGATTGATACGCATGTCCCCACAGAGGCCCCCATTGCCTCGGCTGCAGCCAGCGCACCGGCCAGCGCGCTGCCAGCAGGCGCAATGGAGCAGCAGCAGCAGCAGCAGCAGCAGCAGCAGCAGCAGCAGCAGCAGCAGCAGCAGCAGCAGCAGCAGGAGGCGGGCAAGGGCGCAGAGAAGGGCGAGGAGGGGGAGGAGGCCGAGGCGGGGGCGGAGGCAGTGGCAGCGGACGCTGCGGTGGCGGGGGCGAACGGGGCGGCCGATGAGTGGCAGCTGAGGCTGGCGGGCGGCGTAGTGCTCTCCGTCCCTGCCGCGCTGTGCCGTGTTCTTGTGGCTTTGTTCAAGCCGGACAGCCCGGCCAGCATGAGTATGGCCAAGATTTGGATGGGGTAGATGCAAGTTCACGGGCAGCGCTGCTGGCTTGCTCAGTCCCAGACACAGAGTCACTGCTCCTTGACTACCTATGGGGATGCATGTTCAGCTTGCTACTGCACATATCTGATCTAAGTGTCGCGTACTTTGGGTGCTACATTATTGGGTCCTACATCATCAATAAATTATGTACTCCCATTTCCAAGCGTATGTTACTTCCGTTTGTGGGTCCCAGGCAAAGCGCATCGATGACGGCAGTCGGTGACTTGGCTGCAGTATGCAGGCTGCATCCCAGGTTTAGGATCCGCAGCGTGAGACCCAGGGCGTAAGCGACGTTTACAGCAGAGAAGCCATCATAGACAAAACAGGCAAGAATGGCGGGTCCCAAAAGCAGTAGCACCAGCACCAAACAGTTCTATGTCCATGCAAAGCGCGTCCCACAACCCTTGCCGACGTGGGTATGCCCCCAGCCATCGCAGCGACCTTGCACCACGCACCCCGACGGACAGCTCCTCCCAACCTGCCGCATATGTTGGCGCTCCACAGAAGCAAGCAAGCGCAGGCGCCCTCAGCTGCTCTCAAGAACTCAGCGTCCAAATGATCAGCAGCACAGTCAGCTGCCGCTTGGGCTCGCAGCGCAAGTCCGAGGCGACTCAGCAGCTGCACAACAACAGCACAGGTGCGCGCCAACCGGCACTGAAGATTGCGCGGTGGCGTCCAGGGCCTGGACACAGCTAGAGGGACGATTGAACTGAACTTGGGCCCTAATAAGGCGGCTTGAGCAACAAGCCGTCACCAGCCCTCGCGCCGCCTGCTGCTTGCGATTGCAAGGCTTGGGCCTTGCCACGCGTGGCGCCCACCGTGTGCACCAGAGTGTGTTGCACATTGAACCCTGTGCTGGTTCTTGCTATTTGAAGGCCCCTCCTGTTATCCCTCTTAATGGCGTTTGCGTGCTGGAGGCGCCGTTTACAAAACACGCGGCTCAACAAGCTTCCAGGGAGCCTTGAGGCAGCGTGTCGCCGGGACCTTCAGGCTTGCCGCAGCCCTATGCACCATCGGGCGGCCTGGGGTATGCCGTGGAAGGGCGCACAGATGGGTGAGTTGAGCAAGGGGTGCAGGTGCGAGGAGACTGCATCAGCATTGTTGGTGCAAGCAAACCGCGCAATTGTTTTGTTGCGGGCACGGGCGCGGGCGCGGCCGCCGCTGCCAGTGCAGCAGGCGCCGCCGATAGGCGCAGCAGTGGAAGCAGCAGCCATCCACACAGACAGCTGATCTTTCGGCCTCACCTCAATAGGAAAGCTGCCATTGACTTGCAGCCAGCACATTAGTTGGCCCAGCACGGCTCAAGCTCGTTTGTGGACGTCGCTGCTAGGTCGGGAGTGATAACGGGCCCACTTGCGCGAATGGCAGCGCCGGCTAGCCTGTTGATAATTGGTGAGTTGCGAGCGGTTGTGCATCGAGGGGCACTCGGCATCACAGCGCGCTTGGAGCTTGGCGAGCCACAGCATCGTGCTGGCTCCGAGACCATGCCGTGGCAGGGGCGCAACACGTGGCTGGGTGCGACGCGCGGTTGGGTGCCTGGCAGCTGCCAAGGCGGGCCTTGGCCCCCCTTGCCAGGCCATACCTCGGGGGTGCAAAGCAGTAGCAGAACCTTGGACTGTGCCTCGGACTCTTTGACAGCTTCTACCCCACCACCACCACAGACAACGCCCGCCAGCTGGTGGCAGCTTGGCTTGATGGTGCTCGCCACCTGTGCGGTGTGGCGAGCCGCCAAAGGGGACGCCGCGGCGCAGCGCGGCACCCGAGCGCGCTGTCGCAGTCACACCCCGCACTCACCTGTTCAAAGGACCAAACCCTGACGTCGTTCTGCCAGGGCGGCGCTGCCCAAACCCTTGGACCTGCTGGCCTGTCTACTTTCGCCCGCGTTTCCAGGACATTGCGCCACGGCTTCACCCACGGTAGCAGGTTATATATTTCCCCCGTGACGCAGCGCTAAGCCCGCCGCACAGCCGAACGAGTCGAGCGTGTGCAGGCGTAGGCAGAGCGTGCCTGTACCAGCGGCCGCCTGGCGCCGTGGCGCGTCAGCGGCGCGCGGCGGAGCGCGCCTCGCTCCCACGAAGGGGACTGCCGATGTGAAGCGGCAGGAGATGCGGCATGAGCGCACCCAGAGGCCATACGTCTCGCGGACTTGATGGCTAGGGCTGCGAGCGCGAAGGGAGCTCATGACAGGGCAAGTGAAACGTGAGCTGCCGCTCGGCGCAGGGCATCGGGATTCAATTAAAGAGTCTATATTTGCACGGTGGAACAAACGCTAAAACGGTTGATGTCAAGAATGCCTTTCCAGGTGCAGTCGTACAGTACCGTTTTTCTTCGCGGCTATCCCCATTCAGGTACAGCATTCCCTCGAACTAATGCTGTATCACACTCGTCACATCTCACAAATTTGTTTGGCTGTGCATCGGCAAACCGAGCGCGAGATCAAACAGCAACGGTTGTGTTTGTGTCGGGCCTCGTCAGGCGCGTTGCTTTTGCTGCCGAAGTCGTGGAATATGAGAAAAAGATGGTTTTCAGCGGATTATCGGTTCATTGATTCAAGGCTCCCTGTTATGATACCTTATGTGCAGCACCGCCCTGGCCGCTGCACGTGCAGTGCCACTATTGACATGACCGCTGCCGCCGCTGCTTCTCTGGCTGCCGCTGCCATTTTTGGGCCCAATGTAGGCCACTTGCTTCTGATGAGCCTGAATTTGGGCCTACCCGACCACAGCCTTAGCTGCCTGGAGCAACTGGGCCTGTCCCGCTCTTGCGCCGCCTGCCGCTAGCGGCAGGCGCTTGCAACCGCAAGGCGCGCGCCTTGCCGCGCGCGGCGTCTGCTGTTTGCACCAGAGAGCTGTCCCAGCGGCGAGGAGCCAGATGGTGCGTGCATGCACACGGGAGGACCGACCATACCAGGCATATCTCCCGTCAAGTGTCATCAGTCAGTATCACAAAACTGCGCCGTGGTGGATGCACCTTGCCTCCTCCCAAACTTCAAGATGCGGCAGCGCGTCACAGCAAGTGACCGTCCCGCAATATGTCGTGGCCCGCACAAGCCCCTGGCCCGAAACTGGCAGGGCATTTCATGCGCAGCGTCAGTGTTAGGGGAACCGCATGCTGTTGCGCTGCATATGTCCTGCACGTTTGAGCCCGCGCTGGAATTTGACTTACTGAGCCCTCTCTTTTAGTCCATGTGGTCAAGGGTCGGCCCTTTCGCTGCTTGGCCGCCTGCCTACGTACGGTAGTATGGCAGCCACTATAATGCAGTTTGCAATTCGTGCATCCACTGTTGCCAGGCTCCAGGTGCGATTGACTTTCGTGTAGACATGTGTGTGAAAAATCACCCATTGACAAGTACCCCGCTCTGGACACTGCTTTCGCTCGTGGCGATGATGAGGCTTTGGGGCAATATGTGCAAGGACTGTACGGTATGGTCCCAGCGGCCAGTTGCGGCTGATATGGCAGCCTAGGGCCAGCCAACATCCTAACTGGTATTGTTTTGTGTTCGCGTCTCCAGCATGGGCGCGCCTGGCGTGTGTCAAGGTGGTTGCTGCGGTGGTTGTGAAATGGCAGTTATGATCTTGAGTTTGTCCACCAGAGATGTTGATGTTTTCTTCAGACGTACGTGATCATGTGATAAGTTACCGTACCGGTACAAGTCACTGTTCCAGCTTTCGTGATCTAACAATGCATCTCCCGCCTAGCTCTGGGCTTCAAGCACAAGTGTAGCTCTAGCATCAGAAAGCCGCTAGAAGTAAAGCTTTGTCATGGCCAGCGTTAATGGGCCAGCGCGACGCGGCCGGCATCCACCTGTGCGCCAACTGGACAAGCAGCACGCCGATCCGGCCATGCCAGCAGAGAGGATGGATGTCGAATCCGTCACGTCGGCAATCCACTCGCGCATTGAGGTGCGCTGCAGCAGCTGGGTATGATATGCAGAGGCCCCTGCGGTGCGCCAAAACCGCAGCTGTGCTGCGCAAAGCGCGGGCGACCCGCCCCAGCTGCAATCCAGCTGCCATCGCGCACGCAAGGAGCCCATGCATGCCCCCATGCCAGCTTTGCATGCACACACAAAATCAAATTTGAAATTCGCCCCCACGCAGGCGCTGCGCAGCCTGAAGGCCACCCTGGTTAAGCAGGCCGCCGACGCAGTGAAGAGCTGCTGCCCCCCGCCAGACGCGGCGCCCACGCGCCGCGGCGACCAGGACGCGCGCCAGCAGCAGCGGCGCGCGCGGCCGCGGGGCGCAAGCGACGAGCGCGCCGACCCGTCGCACACGCCGGATGGGGCTGGAGCCGGCAGGGGCGCGGGCGCACAGCTGCCAGTTGAGGGGTTCGGCAAGGTATGGGAGGTGCTAAGCAAGCCAGTGCGATGCGGAGATGGCGACGCTGCAGAGCCCGCGGGCCCCGCGCCGCGCGCCTCGCTGCTGGACGCCGCCGCGCTCGAGGCGTACAAGCAGCACGCGGCGGCGCACGCGGCGCTGCTGCCGCCGGCGGCGGCGCGGCACGCGGAGGAGCTGCCCACCCTCGTGGCTCGCGCACTGCCGGCCGGCTGGGGGATGTTTGGGCGCGGCCTGGACGAGAGCCTTGACGCTGCGTCCGCCGCCGCGGCCGAGCCGCTCCCATCCCCTCAGGCTGGCGCCGAGCACCACGCCGCGCCGCCGCGCGCTCTGCTGCGGTCGCAGCACGAGCGCCTGCACTTGCTGCTCGCCGGCGCGCTGCCCGCCTGCCGCGCCGCCGCCGCCGCTGCCGGCGACGGCGAGGGCGTCGCCGCTGGCGAGGGCGCGGGCGCTGCGCCGTCGTTGGTTTTGTTACCCCTAGCGGAAGAGGAGGAGGCAGATGCAGATCCGCCAGACGTAGACCTGCCCAGTTACCTCTCCCGCTTGACGTTGCACCACCCGGGGCCCCGGCCCAAGCCGGCGCCCGCGCTCGTCAGCAGCAAAGCTGAAATCCGAGGCGGCGGCGGTGCAGCACCTGCGACGTTGAGGGGGCAGCCCTCGCGGCTGGACGGCCGGGGCGCAGCCGCATCAGACACAAGGGAGCTGCTGGCGGCCGACGGCTTTGGTGCTGCCCAGGGGCCGGCTGCGGCCGGCATCGGCGCGGCAGCCGGCGGCCCCATGGCCGCGCCAGGGGCCGCCTCGGTGGACCCGGCGGGCGCGGCCCCGCCGATGCAGCATGCCGACCCCTGGAGGGCCGTTGGCGCCGCGGGCGGCGCTGCCGGCAGCGCCGCTGCGGCGGCGGCAGAGTGCTTGGAGGCGTTGCTTGGGCTAGGCGGCGCGGATGAGGGCGGCGGCTGTTCCTTGGAAATCGAAGACGATGAGGGGGCCTTGCGAGGCGCTGATGTCATGTCCCAGGGCGCTGATGTCAGCCCACCGCAGCAGCAGCAGCAGCAGCAGCGGCAGCAGCAGCAGCGGCAGCAGCAGCAGCAGCAGCAGCAGCGTGCGTCGCATGGGGAACGTGAGGCAGTTGCGCCCAGCCCTGCCGTCGGCGGCAGCGCCGACGACATAGCAACAGAAGCGGATCGTGGAGAGGGTGTCTCACCACGAGTTGGCGCCGAGGCCGCCGCGGCTGGCGGGGACGCATACGCTCTGCTTGCTGCCACTGGTCGCTACGACGCCCCCATGCCAATGCTAGCTGCCGAGCCGCCGGCAACAAACAGTAGCGTTGCGGCCGCCGACGCCGGTGGCGTGCCGGAGGCGCCGGAGGCCGCAGGTGCCGCTGACGGCGGCACTGGCAGCACTGCGGCGGCTGGCGAAGCAGGGGCCACCGCGGCCGCTGCGGCGGGAGGCGGGCAGCTGGGCAGCCCTTGTCGCGTCGGTGCCACAGATGTCCCAACTACACACGCAGATCAGATCATGGACTGGGATGCACCAGAAGAGATTGAGCTGGAGGAGGTGAAATCGCCAGAGGCGCCTGTGCCCCCCAGCCCTGTTGCCCCAAATACAGCGGCCGCCGACCGCCCAGCCACGCCCATAGGTGGCGCAGCACCCGGGCCGGCCGCCGCGCAGCAGCGCGCGGCGGCCGCAGCAGCAGCCGACAAGGACAGCGCCGCCGCACCCGCGCCGGCCTCGGCGCCGGCGCTGGCGCCGGCGCCGGCGCGGCCGCAGCTGCTGGCGCGGCGGGGGTATCGGTACAGAGCGCTGGCCGAGGCGACCGGGTCGGCCGTACAGATGCCAGATGTGAGGGCAGACGAACAAGCAGCGGAAGGCCGGGCCTTGGCTGACCCCAATCAAATCGATGAAATCGAAGAAGGCGGTGCCGGGGGAGGCGCCCACGAAGGCGCGGCGCAGTGGCCGCAGCCGGTCGCGGTTTTCGGCGGCGGCGCGCGGCCGGGCGCGGCGGTGCCCCTGCTCGGGCGGCGGCGGGTGGCGCCGCTGGCGCTGGCGCCCGCCGGGGCTGGGCCGGGGGGCGGCGGAGCGACATCGAAATTTGGGCCAGCACAGCGGCAGAAGGGGGCTGCGCAGCGAACGGCAGACGGAGGGGTGGCGGACCTTGAAGATGAGGACCAGATCAGCGGCGGATCGGAAGACGAGCGGTCGGCACCTGGAGGGGATGGGACCGCGGGCTGCGCGGGCTCGCTGCCTGTGCTCGCGCGGCCGGTGCTTGGGTGAGCGCCTGCCAGGGCGACGGCGTGGCCTCCAGGGCAGGGCGCATCACCAGGAACAGGTGGTATGCAAAGCGCTTGAACTTGCATGCCTTTTTATATCATCTCGACTCCTCAAGCTAAACCGGCTGGTCAGCACGCTGCACACATCCTCGTTTTGACGCGCGCGCAGGCGCCGCCTGCTCAGGGACAAGCCGACAGCGCCGCCGCCGCACCTGCCAGACCCCGTTGTCGCCGCCGCCGCCGCCACCCAAGATGGCGCCGCCGCAATCCCAGACAGCGGCGCGAGTGCTCGTCCAGCTGGCGGCGTCTGCGACGGCCCTGGCGACGACGCGGCGGTCTCATGCGGCGGCGGCAGCTGCGGGGTCAGCGATGACGACGACGACTTTGAGGCGATGAGGCCCAGCCGGCGGCGGGGGCACTTACAGGCTCGCTGCATGTCGGCTGTCGGTGCGCCGGTTAGCACCACCGCCAGGGGTTCCCTCCCGGCAGACGAGGAGGCGCGCCCGCTGATCACCCCAGACTTCTCATCGGCCGCGGTCGGGCGCCTGCAGCACGCGTGGCGCCTGGCCGCCGCGTCCAGGCCGGCCTGGAAGCCCGTGGCGCGGGCGGAGGTGCTGCTCGTACCGCAGCACCAGGCGCCGCAGCGGCTGCCCCCCCAGGTGCGCGCGCCGCGTTCGGCTCACAGCTAAATACCCCTGCACTGCATTCAGACCTCTGGGCGTGTGCGCTCGCTTCCGGCTCCCGTTGAATGCTAGAATGCACAAGCACACACAGACACACACACGCACGCACCTGCACGCACGCACGTACGCGCGCGCACACACACACACACACACACACACACACACACACACACACACACACACACACACACACACACACACACACACACACACACACACC